AAGCAGGAGCTCACTCTGCTGCACGGAGCTGGGCTCAAACCGCTGAAGTGCCGGCCATTTCTGGCCGGCTACTTTCAGCATCATTAAGCCGCTGCGCCACCACGTCCCCTTAACAGACCACAATGACCTATTAATACTCTTGAACGGTCAGTGACTCAATTATGCCTGCATAATTAGGGCCATTATGATTTCCCTATCATATAGGACTGTAAAATCTGTAAAATCTAAAGTTAGGAATAGATCTGAATGCAAAAGGCAAAATATGATTTGGAGTGAGTATGGGCACGCATGGAGCACTTGCTGACAATGGCATACGCTAGGATGCCATAATGGCAACATATGTGGTGACGGTGTATAAATGCTGCCCCTATGTACTTGCATCCGGCTGTGTGACACAAATGTGTGATGCTGTTGTCATGCCTTTTTCACTGTTTGGTTGCATGTGCTCCTTCCCAGTGAATGCCCATGCCTGTTGGGAATACCTTTCTTGAGATCATGGATCCGCCATAGTGGGCAGCCTGCAAGACCCGGAAAAAATACAACCGGTGGAATATATATGCGCACTCACTTGCAATTTCAGTTTGCCTTTTGAATCCAGTTCTCCACATCCACATTGTAAGATTGAACAACTACAGAAAGTCCGCTTATATGGTACTGTAAGGAATACATTCACAGAGATGCATGAAAAGAACTGCAGCGGGAGATGGAGTCCCAGACTGAGACAGATGGAAGACAAGACCAGAGAGAGACAATGACTTGAGGTGGGCCTTAGAAATGTCTTAGGGTGCAGGCCAGTGTCTCTTTCTATGGAGATGTGATGTAATAGGTTCTGTATAAACTAGAAATGGTGATGCTGTTTCCCTCTAACTATGCCTTATCTCCATATTTACAGCTGAAAAATCAAGAAAGAATAAGTGGCAATTCATAGTTACCTAGTATGGTCCAGTTTTCATTTCAAAAAATAAAAATACTTTCCTGAACTGAACCATGAAATGTCAATTGTAGCATATTTTTTCCTATAAACAAAAAAATAATGATTGCATATTGTGTTTTGTTTTTGTAATTAAATTAAATAAAACTAACAGCACAAAAATGCTCACCGACTGCAGTGATCTTTCTTCCCAAGGGACACCAAATGCAGGTTAATGTGTCCCCGGAATGCGTCCCTGCATGGAATAGTGAAGAGCATGGCGACATCCATATAAAGATGCCTAAAGGTTGTGCTTTAATAGGAAGGCAACAAGACCAGCATTTGATTCATTGGTAAGTAAACTGCAAAGCCAAGAGAAAGCTGGGCTTTGTAAATTTGTCATCAATTTCTTTTTTAATTATATTTATGTCAATTCTAAAATTCTCTGCGCCCACAGTAAGAATGACCTTCATAAGCGATGGAAGAGATAAAATAGACATAGAGATAGAGTAGGCAAAAGCCAAATAAACAAGTAAATAAAAGTCATTTTGGAAAGAAACAAGATTTGTACCTAACCTCACTGTGCAGATACCTGTAAAATACATTGTCCTGGAATGACAACAGAGGTGATCTATAACTTAAATAAGCACTGACTCACTGAAATGGGCCTCATTACACCAATTCAGAGACAGAAATTCTGTTATTCAGTAAGTGTGATCCGTGCTGTTACTGTCCGCCAGACATTGATTTTTCCATTGCCAGCTTGATTTATGCATACAAACAGTGTTTTGCTTCCATGGAGAAACTGTGGCAGCACATAAAGGAATTAATATAGGACAGTGTCCTACTGGAATGAGACACACAAATCACAAATGAATGTATTTCTTCTTGCACTGATTCCTAAGATATGCCACTTTCAGAGCAATTATATTTAACAGATTAGCATGCATTTCATGGCCACAGAAAACAAACATTTGATTCAGACGTGTAAGTTGCTCACTTGGGGACTACACACACACACACACACACACACACACACACACACACATACACTCATCATCATCATCATCATCATCATCATCATCATCATCATCTATAGATTTCTTGTGTACATGTTATAAATGTATTATACCTAGCTAAAGACTATGTACTGCTCAAGCAAGAACTCAGAGCCTTCAGGGCCCTGCATGCAAATGTCCCATATGCTTGACTAGCAGAAGTAAAGTTTGGGGCATCTCCCTGCAATAATTTCATGTTCATTTATTTATTAAATTTATATAGCCACCCATCTCACCGTTGCAACTCTGAGAGGCTTACAGAGTTAACCCCCCCCCCCAAAAAAGCAATACAAAGACAACCACAAAAAAACTGGAAAAATCATTAAAATAATTAAAAACAGTAAAACAAACCATTAAAAACAAAACAAAACCATAACCTACACGAGAGCACCATCCTTTTCCTAGAAATATAACCATTTAACAGGGTCTCCACCAACACCACTGGATCCCTAGGCTAAATGGCAGGGGCATGTCTTCAGGCTCTTCTGGAAGGCCAACAAGGTTGGGGCTAATCCTCAGGGCGGATGATGTTCCAAAGGGCAGGCACTGTGGCAGAAAAGACCCTCCTCCTGGGTCCCGCCAGATGACATTCCTTAGTGGATGAGACCCATAATGTGCCTCTCCTGTCAGATCTGATGGGATGGATAGATGTAACCAGGGAGAGGCATCCCCTCAAATATCCTGGTCCCATGCCATGTAGGGTTTTATAGGTCATTACCAGCACCTTGAATTGCATCCGGAAGTACCTGGAAACACACTGCTAGTCAATGCAACTCATGGAGCAGAGCTGTAATGTGCTGCAGCTTCCAAATGCTCTTCAAGGGCAGCCCCATATAGAGCACATTAAGGTAATCCATCTTGAATTCTACTCAGAAACCTACCAGCAACCAGTGGAGCTCCCCCATTATAGTTGCTGTGCCACCCAATGAGTTTCAGTTTGCATTTCTAGCAACACTACAAAGTTATATCACACATCTAGTATCCAGTTGGCCTTGCTATAGATCCCAAATTGTTTCTCGTCAGCAACATTATTCAGGGTCTGTATACTGAGTTTGCTAGCAGAAGTTGAACACTGATATGCTAGAAATGTACTCATTAACTTCAAAGGTCACTTGACTTTTGGGGGACTAGATTTATTTTGATAGGGTTAATTTTCTAGGGGATATTAGTAGCAATACTAATGTAATATTTAATGTAATATATGAATGTACTAATAATACCAATTCCTAAAAATATATAAGCACTTAGATCAAGTATAGCACATTAAAGCATGCAATTAGCTTTCCCCTGTGATATTTAACAGATTGTTAAACTTATTTATTCATTTATTTATTACTTCAATTTATATAGCCGCCCATCTCAAACGCGTGACTTTGGGCAGCTTCCAACGATTAAAAGACAATTAAAAAAACCTACAATATAAAAACAGGTAAAAAACATTATACAACATACAGCAGCCGTGATATAAGCATCAGCATACAGCATATAATGCTGTATGATATAAGTGATATAAGCATACAGCAGCATTCAACATAGCCACTGAACAGGCTGTACTACATACCCAAAGCTTGGAGGCAAAGTAGTGTCTTTAAAGCCTTATGAAAGGCCAGTAGGGTTGGGGCCAATCTGTAATGGTATGTGGGAATGACTTTGGGAGGAAGGGCAAAGAGACACAGCCAAGGGAACAGTCAGATAAAAGGCAACTTAGCCCGCAGCAGGAATGTGGACTGGGCAAATGGCTCAGAAGGGACCCTCCT